CGGCCGCGCCCGCGCTCTGGCGTCGGCAGGTGCTGAGGCTGCAGCTGCGAGGCCGCCAGCTGCCGGCGCCGCGACCCCCGCCCGGGGGCAGGAGCCCTGTGCACCGCCCACGCGAGCTCGGGAGGTCCTGGCCCTCCGCAGTGGGCGGTCCTGCTCCCACCCAGGCCCTGCCTCCGCCAGCTCCCCACCCGGGGCACGCAGCGTCCGCCAGCTACCCACGGGGATACTGAGGCCTGGCGGGGAAGGGGTCCCCAAGGTCACCCATACCCGAGGCGGTCAGGCCAGAGCTGGAACCCAGAATGACGGCACTCCCCTTCTAACAACTGCCTTCCCCAGCCTTCAAGGCTTTTCAGAAGGAAAGAGGTATGTGGGTCCCTCCGGAGCATTGATGACTCGTATCCTTCCCTGTGTCCCCCCCCATTCTCAGCCCCCACCTTGGGCCCCTCTGGCTAGAGGGGAGGAGTTGGGAGTGGACCCAGTCTGGGCCCTGCGGACCACTAACCTTGCAAACTGCAAACTCCTGCCCTGAGTAGCCAGCTGCACTCTCTGACTTTCCATGTTCTCCTGGAGGGCTCCCCAAACCTTGAAACCCTAAATACCTGGGGTGCCCTGGTACACTGCACTCACATCTTTTCTGACTCCTTGAGCCAAGTCATTCAGTCGCTTGACCCCAACCCTATCCATCTCTTTCTTTCTCCATCATACCAGGATGCTTGTCTCTGTTCAAAAACTCTTGTTACCTGAAATAGCTACGGAACACCTTCAGGCCTATGCACTGTGTTAGACACTGGAGATGTACAGTCCTTGTTTTCCAGGAATGCACAATCTAGTGGGCTCTTACCACTGTCACATCCCACTGTCTGAATGAAGGCCTGCTGGAGGGAATGCCCCTTAAACAGAAAACTGGAACGCCAACTGGAATTAGCCAATGGAAGGGAAGAGTGTAGAGAGAACATTCCAGGCAGAGGCCCAGAGCAAAGGCCCCAGGATGTCACAGATGCCATTGGACTTGGGCTGAAGCAGAAGAGTCAAAGGAGGCCATTGCTGGTCAGATGTACTCTATTCTCAGCGCAGGCAGGTTCAGTGGAAGGACTTTGAGGATGGAAGGGGCTCCACCAGTTTGTCAAGTTAGACCATTCTGTGGATCAAATGGCACACAGGCAGATGTGATCCTTTATCCAAAGGCCGGTGGGGGAAGCAGCATGTCAGAACTTGGGAGCCAGCCTGACCTGGATGAAGACAGATACTCCTGTACCTGCTTTCTGTCTGCCAGTCCCAAACCCAGGCCTCTAATCAGCAACTCTCCTGTGAATGGCCCTATCTTTGGAAGACCCCTTAGGTGCCTTCATTCAATGTTTGCTATCCTTTCTGTGCCCAGGCTTCTGTCACCAAGATCTGTGGGTGATGAATCTTATGCTCCTATGGCCTGCCTCTCTTCTCTGTCTTAGAGTTCTGGCCCAGGGTAAGCACAATGGGTAGGGGGAGTGGACAAAATGGAAGAATCAGAAGCCATGATGAGAATGACATCAGCTTTAAGAAAAGTGAATAGGGGCTGAAGAGATGGGACCCAGGTTAGGTTCCCAGCACCTGTGTGGCAGCCAACAACTGTTTTTAACCTCAGTTCCAGGGGATTCAGTGCCCTCTTCTGGCCTCCACAGGCATCTCATGCACAGATGCACTTACATAAATGCAGGCAAAACATCCACATAAAATAAAAATTCATTAATAAAAAAGAAAAATATATTTTCCTACATTATCTCTTACAGTGACCAATGTAACTGTGATTTTATCAAAGTAAAGTTTAACAAATGTTCAGTAGATGAAGATTAATACCTAAATTATGATAGCCAATATTTTAAAATAATATTTTTTAAAATTTCATGTGTATGTGTATTGCCTGCATGTGTGTAAATGCACCCATGTCATGCAATGCTGGCAGAGGTCAGAAGAGGGCACTGGATCCTCTGGAACTGGAGTTACAGATGTTTCTTAGCTGCCATGTGGGTGCTTGCAATTGAACCTAGGTCCTCTGCAAGAGCAGTGAGTGCTCTTAACCACTGAGTCATCTCTCCAGCTCCATGATCTCCAATATTAAACACCAAACAAGGCACTTGTCAGAAAGGAAAATAAGAGTGCCACCCTGATGTACAGGAAGAACCAAAATTTCCTGTCAAGTTTGACTTGCAACTGGTTTCCTAGCCGCTGAACTCATAAGTGTATCTAAACACAAGCAGTGTCGTGCTTGGCTTCAGAGACCCCACTGTGCATGGGGCCATCTGAGCACTCTTCCCTGTCAGCCTCCTTTGCTAATTCTCTCTCATCTGTGGCCTGGCAGATCCCAAGGGTCTGCATATTCTCCCTCCCCCTGCTGGAATTCTTTCTCCTTTCACTTTCATGGAGCAATTCCTTTTTAAATTTTTTATTAGAGTATATTCATCATACAAAACGATGGATTCCATTATGACATTTTCATTCAAGTATTTCAAGTACTTGCACCATATTCACCATCCATTACTCTCTTCTGTCCTCTCGCCTCCTAGCTAAGCCCCTTTCTCCTCCCAAATAGTCTCCCTTCCATTTTCACATATATGTGTACATGTGTGTATGTGTGTGTAGAATATAGATTATGTATATGTATGAGATTACACATGTAAAAGAACACCTATATTTGTCTTTCTGAGACTGACTTCTCTGTGTGACTTCAGCCCAGACATTCTTTTGTGCTCCAAACTCAGACACCCAAACAGCTGCTGATCCGCTAAATGCCTTCCAGAGCCCCAGGCACAACAGAGCCAAAACCAAACTTCATAATTCCCCCCTAAATTTTATGTCCCTGTCTCAATTCCTGGTGCTAACATCTCCCTAGAGGCATCCAAACCAAAAACCAAAGAGACATTCTACCCTTCCCTCTTGCTGACCCTCACCCCAAGTGGTCACTAAGTCCAGTCCACCCTGTCACCTTAACACCTTTTGCACACGTGTCCTCCCCTCCTCATCTTACTGCCCTTGCCTCTGTGAGAACTGTCTCTTACCACAGTTATAATGATGCCTCCAGTTTTGCCTATGTGCAATTCATTCTTCTCATGTCACAATCTTTCTAAACCACAAATCTGACAAGTCACCTGTCTTCCTGGAGATACCTCCATTGTTCCTTCTTGACATAGTGATCAAGTCTTGATGCCTTGATATGGTGTTCCAATCTGTTGCTGCTGCAGCCCCATCTCCACTCACCCTATACCTGCACACCAGACACCTTATGTTCCCAGACTACATCATGCCAAAAAAGACATGAGCTTTGTGCTAAAATTAAAAAAAAAAATCATAGATTTCAGCCAAGGCACCTGGGTTCAAGCCTAGAGCTGCCACTTTTTAACCTAAGGAAGTTTGAGGAAAGTTCCAGAACCTCAGTTCTAGGTTTCTTCCTCTTCAAAGTGAGTAAAATAAAGATACCTACAACATGGCAATGGTCTAAAAATTCAGCTTTTCTAGGGATAATAACCTGCTAGCCGGCACTGTTAGTGATGTTTATAACCATTATTCATGGTATGGATTGCTCCGCTTACTTTACAGAGAAGGAAACAGACTCCAAAGAGGAGATACCTTCCTCATGATTCCACAGCTTTAAAGCAACTTCCCTGGGATGTATATGGGATTCTGAATCTCTTACAACTGAAGACTTTGCATGAGTGCTCACCTCCCTCTGGAGGCTTCCTTGGTTCCTGACTTCTACTCCACCTGATGAATAAACTTTTCTTCCTTTAACTAAAAACATTTTCTCTTCCCTAAAACCCTCCCAACCCTCCCCTCACCATGCCTCTGGTACTCTTGTACATCCATCAGATAAAGTTCCCAGTGCACCCTTTTACAGTGGTTTGTTAGCCTGTCTGTCTTCTTGGGACCTCCTTGAAAAAACAATACTTTGTTTCTGTCTCTCTAGAATTTTATAAATATTCCTGAATAAATGAATAAATCAGCAAAGAAAATATATATGACTCTCGAGTGTTTTACCCTAACAGCTGTCATTTCAATATAAATCACTTTTAATCTTTGCTTTTGTCACTTTGAAAAGTCATTTTTGGTGAGAGGGTGCATCAAATGATGCAGTATTAATAGAGAGCAAGATACAGCCAGGCTGCTATTTGGTTGTGCCTTGTCCCTCTCAGATGTCTCTCCTTTTTTTAGTGACACTATGTAATAACCCATAATGAGATGCCGTGTTGCATCCTAATGAGACTTCCTGACTAAAACATCTGAGGTTTGAATTTGTTTCCCATAAGTACCATTTCAGCTCAAAGTTTGCTCTCTCTGTGGCAATGAGGGTGCCATTTGTCATCTGCTAAGTGCCCATACCTTCCCTTTATCTGTATTAATCGTCTTTGCATTCGAATACTTCTAAGAGCTGACTTAATAGTGAGCTTTTCTATACAATTTCCTTCTTAGAATACCCAACTCTTCTTGACTGAACATCTATTGTTCCCAAAATAGAATAGTTTACTGC